CCCCCCTTCTTCTTTAGGGAGAAACTTTGAGCTCAACTCTGAGAAGTTTGAGATCAAACTTCTATTTTCCTCTCTGGCATCAAGGGACTGAGTCTCATGAAAAGACCTACCCTTGAAACTGGTGAAATAAATTGAAGTACAGCTATATTTTAACCAAAATTCACTTTGAATATTCTTTGCACAAACAATAACTGACTGGGTGTTTTAAACATTAGTATGGCCACCTTCCTACTGGAATTTATAAAGAATAAAAAATGCTAAATTTTAAGGTAGACATTTAAAGGCAGGATGCCTTTATTTTCAAATACTCCTTTTATAAATGAAATGTGCTGGAAAATGGCTTTGGAGTCAGACAGAACTGGGGTTAAATCCTGATTCTATCACAAGTTGTTTAAGTTAAATAAATTTACTTAAATTTCTCTCAGACAAAGTGTCCTCTCCTGCAAACAGGAATAAAATCACCAACATTGAAGGGATATTCAAATTGAAATTGATGTTTTAGACTTGTGCTTAAAGGGAGTTCTGAGAATACAGAGACATTACTATCAATCAAAACATAATAAATCAGATATGAACTCCACCCCAATTAACTCAAACCTATGTGAGATTAAATAGAAAATGCCTGTTTACTTTTTTTTTACAAATCCCAAGAGAATGAATGATGATATACAATAATAATGAAAAGTAGAGGTATTATAAAATGACAAAAAGTGACCCTACATGTGTCTAGAGTTATTGAAATAAAATGAGAGGCTTTGGTGGTCATTTCTGTAGAGCCTGTGAGAGGGTGACACTGAATGTAGTTAGGCACTCCAGTTTGAATTTTTGAGTAATCACCAGTCAAGAAGTGTTCCCTCCCAGAGAAGTTCTGATCCCTTGTGGCTATCCAGGCAGACCATCAGTGCTGATCTCTTAAGAGAGTAGCAATTTGTGTCAAGTAAACTAGTGACCATTAATCAGTTCTTTTGCTTAGGCACATATGTAATTTCCTTTGAATGCAAGAGGATTCAAGACTCCAGTTCAGTTTGACAGTAATAATACTTTCTTAACTAGTCATTATGATGCTGAATTAAAAATCATAATGGGTTCTAAAAATCTTTTTATTGAAACTATATTTTTTGAAGAGTATTTGGGGAGTCAATGATTATGTCACATTTAAGTAACTCTATGTCAAACTGCAAGTCTACTGAGGTATGCTATGGTGAAAGCCAGATGGTAGACCAATCACTGCTTCAGCAGATACCACATGATGCAAGGGGAGCACACTGGGGACTAACCTCCACTCTGTGTTCTGGCAAAAAATTATGAATCAAATTCGTGATACCAAGTTTACTTAGTGTTAAACTTGACTTCACTTAACAAGATCATAAGTTACTTCTTCTCAAAGTTGAATTCAGATGTTCAGGTGAGTGCTTCTCCTAAGTATCCTTTCATCAGTAAGACCTTGGGTCATAATTACAAATTAATTTTTAATGAATTACCACTGAGTTTTAGTAACTATAAAAGATTAAAAGATGAGATTATATGAAAAAAATCTACAAATAATCTTATAGTTTAGTTTCAAGATAATGTCATGGGGAATGTTACTACTACAAACAGTTTTATTTAAACTTTTATTTTCAGTGCATTTCTCTTCCTATTTATAAGCATTTTATAGATTTTCATTAATCTTTTTCCCCACTATTGTTTTAACCAATCTAATCACCCTTGTTTGAAACAAAATCAAGTATCATTTATTATTTTTACATGTGAGATTTTATAAAATTAACCAGTCTTCTGTTTCTAGGTAAGTGGACTTGTCAAATAAATATACTATTGGAGTACTATCTCATAAAAGGTGGAGTAAGAAAGAATACTTTATATTTACAAAATGTTTTTCAAGTGTTCAGTAGATAGCCTTGGCACTATTATGTAGAAAAACCATTTTATCTCTTTTCCAAATTAGTCAGATCCAAAATATTTGGATAAGGAAGACGAATTTCTATTTATATCTTTACTGTTAAGCTGAGTATAGTTGTTCTATAAGACCTAAAATTAATGGCTACCTCCAAAAATCACTTTACATTGTCATGTGTGGGTTAATAAACCTGTTGTTAGAGAAAACATGGTAAAGGAAAATGTATTAGGGAATTAAGATAATTGTATTCAAATTTATACTCAGTCTTGGTTTCTACTTGTTTTATTGTTTTATTTCATTGGCAATTTGACTAGTACAAATTTACAACAATGTTTTGATTTTTTGGTTTCAAATTAATTATGAGAAGACATGAGGATAGACATTTGCATCAAACTCATTATTTCAAGATGAAAAATAAAACCCTATGCTTACTTGTTCACCCAACATGTATTTATGGAAAACCAGTTCTTGTGAAGTGTGTAAGGGAGGGAAAAACTTCCCTTCACCCCAGGAGGATTCAGTTGAGTCTGAAATAAACTAACAGGCAGGTTAGCAAGACAAAAAGTATACCAATTCATTATGTGTAAAGATAACATGAAAACCTAGAAACACAGTGAGAGCAGACACTTAGTATAACTTCTTCGGGGGAGGGGGGCGGGGAAACACACATACACACACACACACACACACACAAATTGGCCCCAAGAATGGTGCTAGCCTGTGACCAAGTCTGTCTGGTTATGGCATCACCCTCCAGTTCTGCTTCTGTGATCTGAGCTGATGCTCCTAGCCTATGAAATTGCCAGGGAATAGATTCATGACTACTGAGTTCTTCATGGAGGGTCTGTGTCATAAGGCAGACGACCCTGATATCACATTCATACTCTGAATAAAGACAATAAGAAAGTCCAGGGTAACTTCTGAAGTATGAGATTATGGAAGTCTTTAAGTTTTCTATATTTTTTATGCCTGGTATTTTGTAAGCATAAATTATTTGTGTAGTCAGGGGAAAAAAAACAAAATGAAAATATGTCTATGAATAAAAACAACAAGGGAACAAATGAACATAAAATATTTGTTGATTAAGGCTATTGGCTATTTAGGGGTAGATTTTTGTCTGTTTTCAAGTTATTATATTTTCCTAATAGAATTTTAATGCTAGATTTAACTCAACAATAAAAGAAGCATATGGAAATTTTGAGCTCTTTGATTTGAGTAATCGGCTTTATTAGGTATTAGGAGTAGAGGCCTCACTGTTGTTTTTATTTCTAGCAGGAGTAGGGCTGTGAAAAAAATTAAGACACAATCTCTATTTGTTTGTAATTTACTTTTTCAAACTCTTGTATAATGTCAAGTCTAGATGGAAAATGGTGGAATAAACCTCTCTATTAGTCTACTTGTAATGAGCTATTTCATTACCATCTATTATGAAGGTAGCTTTTCTACATCATTAAAATGGAATAGGGTCATAGTTCCTAATTTCAAATACTGTCATAATGTTAAAATACTTCCCTGAAAAGAAAGAAAAAAAGATAGGTAGGTAGGAAGAGACAACTAAAACAATTCCTGACTGCATTTCAGAGAAGCATCAGCAGCCTTGACCTTCATGTTCTGAGAAAGCCCAGCCTGTTTAAATGGAAATGGACCTTTCTTTATTTCAGCAAGTCCTAGTTACATCATTGACCGTTTTTCAAATTCTGTAATCTTGTTTTTAGTGTCACTTCGAGCTGAATCATTCTTTTCATAAATGGCCAAGATTGTGATATCTCTGTAGCTTTTCTTATTTAATACAACTCAGCTGCCACTTTAAATGAAAAAATTCTGATGGAACATGAGAAATTTCCTGTTAATGAAGGCTTATGTCCTTCTGGCCATGAACAAAGGGTGTCTGGTACTTGCTAACTCCATTTAAAATTCGAATTATTTTGTAAAGTTAATTGTGAGTTTCCAAGTATCCTTTAAGTACTATTAAATTCAATTACTCATTTTGCAAACTAATGGGCAAGAGGAGAGGACAGGGAATCTCTCTGAGTCAGTCCCACTCACAAGCCCTGACAATGCAGAACTAAATCAGTTAAGAATATCCTCATCAGCTATTCTACTTTTAATTAAGGACTTATTCAAAATTTCATTTTCATGGTAGTTGTGCTTAAATTTGACACTTTGTTTTCATTTTTTATTTATTTATTTTTTTATTACTGGGGAATGAACCGGGTGCTTAACCACTGAGCCACATCCCCAGCCCTTTTAAATTTTTATTTAGACAGGGTCTCACTAAGTTGCTAAGTGCCTCACTAAGTTGCTAAGGCTGACCTCAAACTTCAATATGTGCACAGCTGTATACATCCTTTTTGTTAACAACATTTAAATACTTCTATTTCCTAAAGTTATGTTTATCAGAGTCCTGAATAAGGACACTGTACAGTGAAGGACTAGGTCTAGGATATGGAACTAGACAGAGATGGAGACACGTCCATGAACCCACATGGCTGTTGTAACACCATGGAATACAGACATATGCTCCAAGGAGGTACAGGGGAGAGACCCAGGGTGGTCTCTCCCTGTAAGTTGCATGACTTAAAACAAGAGGGAGCAGACTTGGCTAGGAATGTGTGGAGAGGAACAGTGTGTGGCTTTACTTATATTTAAAATGTCTTTAGATGCAATGGTCTGGTAATGTAGCTTCTGAACTTTGGAGAGAAATGTCTTACTTACTTTAACACGTGATAGGTAGCTTTATTCTTATTTACACCTAAAAACTTAAGTTTAAATAATATATTGATGAAATCTTAGAAATTTACTGAAAACAAAAACACTTCCATTTTAAAAGTCAAATTAAAACAAGCACTTTTTGGTTCTTCAGCAGATCAAATTGGCTCTTAAAATATTATTTTAACAAATTAACATCACCTTGAAATACTATATTCTAGTGATATCTGGGGTGGGGAGTTGTAAGGTGCATACCCAAGAGCCATGCCAGTGGGTAAGGTGCAGTGGCAAATTAAATTAGCTTCTACTTAGTTTATTATAATTTCAGCTACATTTTTTGGAATGAAGGCAAAACACAACAAAGAATCCAAAAAATGAAATGATGCAGACCAACCTTTTATTGCACCCACAATATTTTGGTCTAGTCCTTTCCGGTTGTCATTGAGTCCTCTTTTCCTCTTCCCATTGGGTAAGGAGTTAGCCAAAGTCTTGTCATCAAAAAATGCACACACCAGTTTTCTAAACAGAAGGCTTCCTGAGCGAGTATAGTTTGACAGTATAGAGTCCAGCTGAGACTTAGGCATAAACACATCAAAGCCTTCAGCAAGTTGCACTTCTGGCTACCAAAAGAAGAGAAATATTTCATTAAAAGCAAAATTTGAAGCATTTGACTTTAGGCATAAAGTGCAACAAAAACCATCGTAGCTCTTAGCTGAAATGTCCATATCATGTATATGACACAGCCTCAGCTTAGTGTGCCAGAATGTGTACTTTCTAAAACCAATCATCAGTTACAGTTCACAAAACAAGATTCCAGTACTGTCTCCTCAAAAGCAACAGAGAGAAGTACACTGAGAAAGTATTCCTGTTCTTACACATCATTAAGAGATAATCACAAAATCATGTTAATTCTAGAATTAAGGGTCGAGTCTTCTATATGAAACACCCTCATTCATTTTGTAAACAAAGGAACAAAGGCCCAAAAAGATAATGATAAAAATGACTTAAGTACAATTCATATGTGCTCAGTGCATTACTATCTCATACATTAAATAATTTAATTTCTTTCACCTGAGGTCACAAATATGGGACTACTCCACAGGGCCTGTCCTCTTTCTACTATGTCAGGGTGTTAGCTGTGGAACTATTTTTTTAAACCAATGAGAATTTTTATGTAATTTGATATACAAATAAAAATAATGAGCAGGTTTCCAGGCCATTTCAATCCACTCCTCACTCCTACTTTCAGGAAGAAAAGCCGAAGTTATATCCCAGAGGACCCTGAAAAACCAATGCACCAGCCATAAGACAGGGATACAGGATCAGAAGACCCTTGAGGTGCCTTTCAGCTTGGAGTATATCATACAATAATACAAATCAGACACATACTACATTCTCTATCAGCATACCACAGATGTTTACAACCTGTCTTTTCGTCTTGCAACTGGCAAACACTATTTCCTTTCCAAAGCCTTTTCTATCTTCTTCCTGTCATGGAGGTAGCTATGTTACCACTGGGCATCTGACATAGCTTATGAATGTATTTATTACACTCTACTTTGTATTTCTAAGGTCTAGCATATAGTATACACTCAATACATTCACTAGTCATAATCTAAACTATTCAGTCATTTATTGTTGGTTATAACATGACAGCTTTAAAATGATAATTTTAAAATGAAGAAATGAAACTGGTAATTTTTATTAAAAAATAATATATTCAGTTGTATACACTTTCAAAGCTCATTCTTAAGATCTTTTATTTGTTGCTTTGTAAAACTGGCATGACTTTAAATTTTTTTTAATCACATTGAAAATGTGAAGATTTTAGATTTGTTTCTCTCCTGGAAAATATGAATTATTATTTTTGTTTGTCATACTGTTTTCAAAATGCCTAGCAAACTACAAAGTAAAGGATGCTCAGAGCTCAGCCTAGATTATTCGGATGACTTAGGAAGGCATCTGGGCCCTGTCTCCCCAAGATGGAATTTTTGACTGGATTACCCAGAAAGTCATCTCATTCCTCTGCTTTGCTTTGCCATTCAATGTTTGATTTCTAAATGCTTGGCAAATGTCACCGTAAAAACAGTGCTGTCAGGGTTTCCCCCTGCCTTTTGCATCTTGCTGCTTGCTGGTCAAAGGTCTGTGGAGGAGCTTGATAGGAGCTGGAGGCTGAATACTAACTCCTAGAATAAGGATGGCACAAATGAGGCACTCAAGAAATATCTGTTAAATGATTCAAGGTGGAAATATTAGGACTGAATTTTCCATCATAAGCTAAAGTGAAGTTTAGACATCAGCAGAATTTTTCATATGCTGTGAACTTTTGATTCTAAATGAACTGATCTCAGATTTTTGCTAAGTGCTCCTAGATCATATGGAAACCATTAAAAATATCCAAGTGTATCTCGCAGCTATTTGAAGGTCTGAAGTATTACAGAAGCTCTTAAATTGCATGAAAGCAACAGGAAGGACTCCCAACTTGTCTCATTCCTATAAACTTCAGTTTGAGTCTAATACCACTTATCAGGTGCTTAAAATTTAGCCACCTGATTGCTGAGACTCCCAGAACTTCCCCTTTGATTCATCCTGTAGGACTTGGACTCTGACTTTAGAAACACTGACCCAATTGAGCTGCCAGGCAGAACTAGCCACTCCCCTCTTCAAGCATTGATAGTATTTTCTATGAAGTATGTTCATGGCACCTTATTTAATAGGGAGTTTGTGTTTCTCATCAGGATGAGCACTCTTTTGTATTCAGTGTGCCAAGCACCCAGCGTCCAATAGCTATTTGTCAGAATAAACAAAGCGCTATGTAGGAATTCATTCAAAATGACTAGTGCAGATTCAGAGCTCTCTTGTCCCTGTATAAAGGAAGTGGGCTTGCAAGTCTGTCATGCGATAGCTGGATATACACCACCAATGTCTTCTTAGAAGGGTTCATGTGCTCCTTCCAGCAGGAGATTGCTTGGAGAAGACTGTAATGCCTGATTCAATACCTGCACATTGAGCACCCTCTGCGGGAGGAATTTCAAGCTGGCTATTCTTTAGTGCAGACTTATGCATAGATACCTATCATGCAAAGTAGAAAGTGAGGAATACTGTAGGAGAGATACAGAGCAAGTAGTGTCGAGAGTCCTACTAGCATCAGGCAGGACTTGGCTGCTTGGGGGAGCAATGGAAAGGGAGCTCAGGGGTTAAGGAAGGAATAGGACAGCATTTTAACAGGGTCTTGAAGCTAACATTTAGGAGACTGTGGTCTAGTTGTTATTTGTTCATCTATTTTGACTCTTAAAACTAAATATCTGGAGGTTTTTGTGGGGCCAAGTCTTCCTACAGCATCATAACTGCACTGTGATTTCTAAGGTACCATTCAGGGAAGAAGCTGTCACTGCTTTCTGTTCCAGTTTCTACTGCCAGACTGATATTGTTATTTTCAACTGTTCTTTCCAGATCAAGGAACATGAACTCACCCACCTGTAAGCACCTTACAAAGGTGTAAATAGTTTGATTAGCTGCATAGCAGCCTGAGCAGCAAGGGCAAAGGTGGCTAAGCTCTACCCCTCCTGCTCTTCCTGGCTAGCCTCCTGTTCAGAGTTCTTAGCAGACAGTTACTGAGCACTAAGACATGTCTATCAGGTGCCACAAAGCACCAATTTCTAAAATAAAGCTTGGGGTAGGGATGGCTTTATTTTTTTGAAACATGATCTACAGCTTCACATACATAGTTAAAAATGGATTAAAACTCTTTAATTGCATAACTACATCTTTTCTTTTTATTTACTGGTGGTAGTTTAAATGAGATTTCTCTGCTAACTAAAGATAGTTATGACAGAAATGAACACTATTCCAAATGAGTATCATTTTAAAAACTAAACTTCCCTTGACAGATTCACTATTTGATACTCTAGTCAAGATAGACTACACACTAATCTGTAGATTCTACTGATTACTGTGATAATATGATCTTTAAATGATTACATCCCAATTATGGGGCACAATTTACAACATAGTCATCATTTTAAGGGGTTGAATATCTGAATTCCCATTATAAATCTAGATTTTTGAGTATGCTTTGATTATTGGGGTGTCTAAGCATAAGCACAATACTGTATAGATTATGCCTTTTCCTTATCCAGTGGTATCACAGTTTACTTTGGGAGAAGATGAAGGAAAAAACTGCATATTGTCCTGATGGCTCTTCAAAATGTCCTTGGCTCCAGGCCTGCCCACTATTTTGTTTCTTGCATTTCAGTTGTAGTCTCCCTTTGCTTACAAGTAATTGGGGGTTAAGAAGTAGTTTGGGTGAGAGATCCATGCCCTTCAAGTCCCTATGAGCATATCATGTGACTGCCCTATGTAATCTAAAGAAAAACAAGACAATTTTAAGGATACTACACAAATTAATCACACAGGGAGCATTTCCCCTATATACTATTTTATTTTGTTGTGGCATTGGGGATTGAACCAGGAAATATTCTACCACTAAGATACATCCCTAGCCCTTTTATTTAAAAAAATTTTTATTTTGGGACAAGGTGGTCTTGACTTTGTGATCTTCCTGCCTTAGCCTCTGAATAGCTGGGATTAGAGGTGTGTGCTGTTGTGCTTGACTAGGCTATTTTATATTACTAATTCAAAATTATAGTCAAGTTCTTATAAAGCTACATATAGTCATTGATTAGAAGAGCAAAAAAAGAATAAATATTCATGCTAGGCATTAGACATAGATTTTCAATTGCAAATTAATAAATTATACATACAGCTTTCAATACCCACACTTACAGGCACATACATGAAGTTGTCTGCATGAAACCCTGGGGTGTCGGGATTAGAAAGGCAAAGCTGGCTAGCTAGTTAAGTCTCAGACTGGCTCAGGACTGAAACCTGAAAGAAAACTATAGAGGAAGAGGCAGAGATTGATGAATAAGACTGATTTTACACTGCAAGATATATAAGAGGATTGATAAGAATGTTTAAAGGATGTGAATTTAGTCTTTCTGTTCATCATCATATAATGATGCTCACTTACTACTTATTTATTTAGCCGTATATCAGATACATTCCTAGGAAAATGAGCTTCAGCTAATAAAAAGAATAATTTAAAAACACACAAAAATTCATAATTGATTTTATTTTGCTCATAAATGTAATCTGCTTCTATTTGAGAAAACCTAAAATTGTTTCTGATAAATCAGGCCTGATCCAGGTAGACTTTCTGTTACCATTTATTAAATGCTAGCCAAGAACATGGCCAATGAAACTCAAAGGCAGGCCTGCTCTGGTTGGCCCAGTGAGTATAACTCAAAATAGGTATGGCCTGGGGCTGTGCTGGGCTGAGAACCCCTCATGGATGCAGCAGAAGCTGGCTGGATATACCATATCAAGACCAACTTTGTAAAGTGGATACTCTATGTTAAGTAATGAATGCTTGGCTGAAAGTCCTTTAAACAGCAAGCTTAACCTATACTATGTACTAGCATATACTCAATGATGAATAAGATAAAAATTATGGAAATCATTAAAAAACTAATTCTTTTCTTTCGTAAAATTGTGGTGGAAGTAAGAATTGAATTTTGCAAGAGACAATACAATTTGGCCTCTTGAAAATTTCTTCATG